GCACAGTTTCTTTGGAAAGTTACGTTCTTCATTTAAACAACCATGGGCAGACCACAATATATGTTCCTGCTTAATAATTGTTAGAGACGAACAAAATCTTACGGCTATGAACATGGCTCTGAAAATAATTGCATATCTAAATTACATCTCAGTCTGAATATCTCAGTTAAGTTTAACGAAATGTTAATCAACTGATTTGTGTTCCAACAAATTATACTTTAGTCAGGCATGATGTAGGAGAAGAATGCCAGATGAAGATGTTCAAGACACTCATGCTCTCTGACTAGTTAAATACCATAGTAAATGCAAGCAATTTTGTACTCATTTCAATAACAGTTTTTATATTAAATATATGTTCTTCGTCGATGTGCAGTTAAATACTAGTTAAATACCGCAGTAAATGCCAGCAATTATATGCAACTATATGTTCCTGATTAATAATTGTTAGAGACAAACAATATCTTACGGTTATGAATATGGCTCTGAAAATAATTGCATATCTAAATTACATCTCAGTCTGAATATCTCAGCTAAGTTCAATGAAATGTTAATAAACTCATTTGTGGTATTCTTTCGCCTATATGGGCTATTTGAAGCTTCTTTTTACGAAATTACTTTTGGCCAGAGGCCTTTAAGAGAAGAAAGGGAGAATTCAGAGAGCCCCATATTTTCTTCATTTACATAATCATATCACGGTATCTTGCCTAAAATATCCAGCTCCAGTTTTAAGCATGCAATTATACACAATTTTAAAGCATGCAATTAAACACAATTTTACATTGAAAGACCTCGATAACGAAGACCGAAAACAGAAACCCCCTTACTTTCGAAACAAGACGCACAAAATGCATGAAATATGGCTTCCTAGGGTAGGATACATTCCATGGGGTTTGGATACATTTTATCTCACGATGTGGTTCTTACATTCGGCGACACATTCTCTCCTTTTCCAATCTTTCGATTGGACAATGTTTACTCGGCATGCTAGCAGATAGGAACCGGCATAAGTTTTACCGGGCACAATGCAGGCTTTGAAGTAAGGTATCCACGTGGATTTATTTGTGTTCCAACAAATTGTTCTTTGGTCAGACATGATGTAGGAAAAGAGTGTCAAATGAAAATTTTTACTCTATCCATCTTCGCCTAGAAGCTAAATGGCGTGGTAGCTATATGCACTTTAGTATTTATTCAAGATTGATTTTATAGTTAACTGATTTCTCATTCGTCTAAATGCAGCAGCTTTGAGCTTCCATGTTTTGAACGCAACCCGTTCGAAAAATATGAAATAATTACCGTTGTTAGTTCGACAGTTAGAGCGAGTCAAGCGGGACTTTGATCGGGCATATATGAGAGGGTCACTAAGTTATTCAAGAAGCCAGAGTAGTTCGGGCCCCCGGCTAATCCCAATGATTGTTTGAACTTTTGGAAAACGATTCGTTAAAGTTAGGGTAATTTCATAAAATTACAGCGTGCACCCGTCTAGTGCGTCCTATTTCAACACTTGAGTGGTCATATGACAAAATGCTTAATGACTGTGTTTGGTCGAGCCGGACGGGAAAATATTTGGCACTCGGTCGTAGCTTTTACGGGGAAAGCAAACATCTTTTATGATGTCGTGAACCGTTTTTACGTTCAAAATTGATATTTTTTATTATTCATCATGTAAATTGTAGTTTCGTTACCGAAAGAAGAATGTCTGCGTTGGCAAGCCTGCGGATGAAATTGGTCCAGGGGTAGTTAAGAAAACGAAGACCTCCTACGAAAACGAAGACCCATGACGAAAACGAAGACACATTACTTGCAAATTGATCCATCAGTGGGCTGCCTTCCCACAAAAACGGGAAGCTGTTGGGCCATTGTTTGGGCCACGCACGCCACGTGGAAGAAACCGGGTGCACCGTAAATTTGAAGAAGGTACTTCAAAGCTTCTCATAGGTCATGATTATTCATGAAATGTCACTCAAATCAGTTTCCGGAAACATTAAATACAAAGCCTATTATGCAAGCTTTGTCCTGTGTGTTTTGCTGCTGGTAAAAAATGTCATCGCATTCTTTGATTCGCTTAATATATTTGCTTTACGTTAAAAAAAAAAAGAGCTAAGGAAACGCAATTAAAATCAAACAGTTATCCTATTTTAGTTGATGGAATATATGTATTCCATATATTCTCCTTGACAGTTATCTTATGTAACGATATCTTTACCTCCAGCGCTTAAAGCGTCACGCAGCGCATCTTCCATAGGCATGTCATGTCTCTTCTATTAAATCTCGTTTTAGCTTTAAAGTAGTCCCATTGAAGGCTCCTTGAGGCTCTAATGTTGAAATGTTCCGTGATAAATTACAGACGTGCCAAATTCAGAATTCAAGATTTCCGTAAGGATGTTCGTTTTCGTAGTGTCTCATAAACATAATCTTTGTCTTCGTTTTTCTAACTACTTTGGTATAAGCGTTGCCGAACAAAAATGCAGGTTTTTAAAGTACTGCACCCACGCGGATGCTTTTCCTAAGGTCTTCGTTTTCGGGGTCTTCGTTTTTCTAACTACTTTGGTATAAGCGTTGCCGAACAAAAATGCAGGTTTTTAAAGTACGGCACCCACGCGGATGTTAGGGATGATGTGGGAGAAGAGTGTATTTTTCCTGTGACTTCCCGCTGCGTGACAACAACCGAAATATTATTGTTTATTGTCCAGCTTCAAAACTGATTTTCTCGGGAACCAATAGGAATATCTAAAACCCACAGAATGCTATCATTACGCTATCAATGCAAAGTGTCAATGCAAACATTACGCTAGCGACATTGCTGATCCAAGCAGTATGCAAGACGAGTGTCATATGAACTTCGTAATAGACCTTGCTCCTTGTGGAGTCTTTGTGGGTCAGTGGTTAGAGCATCGGAGAGCGGAATCCGAAGGTCTGAGGCTCGATTCCTCATGGGGACTCAGAACTTTTTCTTTGTCCCACGCTTGTGACAAGACGAAAAAAACATCTTTCTCTCAGTGTCTCTAGATGCACAACTAAAATTTCAGGCATTACAAAGAGTTTATAGGCGGGAAAGCAAAAGCCGTAAAATAGACAGAGGTAATTGAAGTTAATTCTTTAAGTCTTAGAACAGAGTCCCCAAAATAGCAAAATCTACAACCCACCCAGCAGATAAGGTGTGGAGCAATATTCTTGTAGAACAAAGTCTTTTCTTTGAAATGAGGCACTTTGTACAATTGCTTTGTGTTTACGGAAGGTACGATAGGAAATCAATTACGTCAAATAAATAAATTGTCTGTCAAAATGTAATCTGTAATTTATCATGGCACTTTTGCACTTTAGCTGAGCCGAGACATTTGCATTGTAGCAATAACCACCTCCTCGACTAAATTTGAGTACGTTTGGCATAATGTATAATTTTCCTTTCATGTGACTATGTCACTACGTTTTTGCCGTTTGGAAAACAATGACCAAAAACGGACGAAAAGGGCATTTTTGCTTTCAGTCCTTCAGCGGACGACATGTGTATCTCTCCACCTTGATATTTTAGAAAGAAGGGCTCGTCCTTTTCAGCCACCGCTGTTGAAGAACCAACAGCCAAAGTGATACCCTCGAAATCAGGGTCACGGATCCTTGACAGCGACTTCTACCTCACAAATAAAGCACAGAACATCTCTCATAACGACGATATCATGTACGCAATATTATCATCCTTTTATGATTATTCCACCCGCCCCAGGTAACTTTAAAAGAAGAAATAACATTCGAAAGATTTGAGCTTTTGAAAAAGCATTTAAACCAAGATGGCTATTGTTTTCTTGTCACTCAAACACGTAATGAAACCGTATCAAACCTATTGTCAGAGGTAGATGAAGCCCATCAAGACCTTGAGCAAGCCAGCTCCTTTAACTACTACTACAATCAAACCCTAAAGATGAAAATGGGCTTTGAATGGGCAGAAACGTATTGCAATTTCTTGTTTCTTTTGAAGCTAGACGACGACGTGTTTGTGCATATTGCAAGACTTCTTTCATTCTTGATCGCCACTGCCACGACAAAGACTTTAACGTTTTAGTGATATTTAATTTAGACATTCTATCTTTTAGACGTGTTCACGTCAATTGAACCCTTTCATTTTGTCTAGGTAATCACATGATTTCGAGCGCAATTTGGAATAAATAAGCACGAGTAAATTTTTTTAAAGACTAACAAAATTGCACGAGCCTGTAGGGCGAGTGCAATTTGTGGTCTGTGTAGTGTTTGTATATTCCAAATTGCACGAGAAAAATCGTGTGATTACGTGTTAAAAATATACATGGAAAATACGAGATGGCTTATCATAATTAAGCATAAGCAAAGCGCGCGCATCAAGTGCAAAAATAATTTATTCAAACCGTGCGTTCGGTCAAAGCAACCGCGTACGATCAAAAAAATAATATGCAGTGATATCTTCACATCTTTAAGGCGCAAAAAAGTTCAAAGTCCGGCTAAACGGTTCAAGGAATTGTTCAGTCTGTTTCCGAATCACTTTCGATGAAATGGAATCGTCGTTTCCGAGGTTTAACCATGTTTGTTTTTAATTTCGGCGTTGGATCGTTCGAGCAAAGTGTTAAGCTGGGTCGGCTCGTAATTTTCGATTTCCTTGGCAATTCCCTTCTCTAAACACCACTTTTCCCAAACCGACAACAAAAAAGCAGTGCTTTTTACAGTGTTTTCGTTGTTTGAGCTGTTTTTCAGCTGCGGTGGCGAAAGAAAACCTACTTAAAACGCCGGCCATTGTTTCGCTCGCAAATTTTCACATTTTCAAATTTTGTTGCAACATCCAAGGCTCGTATTTTATGGGCTATCTGCGAGTTTCTTTGATTACTGACCACTCAGAATGTCTGATTTGTTACTTTCGTTGCACTGAATTAACCCTCTTTTGCAATGAATTAACTCTCTTCTGTACTGAATTACCTGAAAACTGCATTTATCTTAATCAATCAGAACTGAGTAATTTTTCCATGTATATTATTAAGAATGAAATTTTTAGGTTCCTAAATCTACATTTACCGTTGTCGGTTTATTGTATATACCAAGACTGATTTCAAAAGTTAATGCCATGTCAACTTTACCTTTCAACTGACTGGAAACACCAAAATTTATCAGGAGATGAAAACCTTGATATATCTTCATGAAGATGAATGAGACGGTGAAGGATAATAAAGCATTCTGAAGGACCACATCTTTCCTCTGCGAGGATACATTGTCTCCAGCTGGGGGCTTTCAGATGTGCAATTTCTTCATTAGTCCGACCATTTCTTCCGCAATTAAAAAGGAGCTCAACTATGTGAGGAATTGGTGTCCACACCACATATTCATCTGCTGTAAGAATTCCTTCCATTACAAACTCTCAGTAGTGCGGGAAAAGGTAGCTTTGGTACTCCTAAGCTGTTGAACAAAGACAGGTGTGACTGTTAAAACAATTCTGCAGCCTTAAATCTACTTGTTTGAGAAGCAAAGAATGGAGCTTTATGCTTAAAGCTAGTTTTAGAAAGTTGAATTCTTTTTTAATTTGAAATTGCTTGCTTTAATGATAAGCAATGTCGTTAAAATTACACCTGCGGACTTAATACAGATGTATCCGAGGGTAAATGTACAATTTGTATTTTTATACATGTAAGAAATTTTGCAATAATGATTCACCAATTTTGTCAGGGAAATTAATTGTGCTTTTCCAGAATCCTTCCTTGTTACATCATTTGGGATTCTGCTGGCTTCATATGCTGAGAAGAGAATCAGATAAAACTGAAAAACTGAAAAGCTAAAAATTCAAAACAATTACCAATAAACAGATTATATTTGAACTTGCTTGAAACCATGGATGGTAGCCCAACTTTTTCCTGAAAGATAATTGCAGCTAAATGTTGTTGTTCAAACTAAGATGACTGGACAAAACGGCTAATTTAGCGATGACTGCCGTCCTTTGCATGAGGTTACACATATAATACTGACATTAAAATAATAAAAACTATCTACGGACTGGAAAGGGCTTATTACTGGACGATGATTACTGATTGGTACATGCATTAAACACACTGTTGTTTATGTTCCTACATGTTACAAATGAACTGATACCCCACTTCAATTACTGACAGTGATTAAGGACATTAAACAAACAGTATACACATGTACCTTTGAACCACGGCATCTGCTTCAGCCTTTCCTCGAGCTCGTCTTTGTCTATAACACCATTTGAAAGCCAGTACTGCACTCCTCTCTTTATGATGTTAAGGCCGGAAACTGTGGGCGCATAGCATCAAGTAAAATATCCTGTAGTACATCAAAACCTGACAAAGCATGTAATCTGTTAAGAGGAGAGACTCCAAGAAAGCCAATCTCCCTTGAAAGGTTTTCACACATTGTTCGCGTTCTTCCTGCTCCATCTCAGCCATTTGAGGGATTTCATCCTTCAAATCGCTTTCCTCCCAAGGGAATCTACGGTGCATCCTAAATCCAGTATTTGAACTGGCAGATAAACTCCTGAAGTTCAATTGAAAAAAATTATTCAGAATAGCTAAGAAAAAAAAAAAAGAAAAGGAAAGAAAGAAAGGAAATAAAAGGTAAAGATTTACAGCATTTGTTTAAGGAGGTCAGACAAATATTATGTTTGCAATTTCATTAATCTTGAAAATCAATTGGCAAAATATATCTCATCTTAAATGAGATGAATTGAGTATCACAAGCAGAAACAGTTGCATTCAACTGATGCGCACCAAAGTGATAAAAAAAAACCAAGAAAGCCACTGAAAAATATTCACCCTGTGACTAGCATCTTCTGCAGTCCTTCTTATCACCGTATGACTTTGATTTGTTCACCTCACACTGCGCAGGATGATCTCCAGTCCACATCAACAGCAAATATCTAATAATCACCCTTCCTTCAGGAAAACAGTCAACCCTTCAACAATAATCAATTTCCACACAAAGTAAGGAATAAAATATATAGCTTTTAGTTTACTGTCTGTAACATAGGATTGTTAACACGAAAAATTACATGTAGACATTAGCATGGCGGCTATTGCTGGTTTTCACGTGACGTCACTAAATTTCAGACTTCAGAACTATTGATCCTCCTGAGATTTTACTTTCATGATGTATTAGAGCAGCTAAAAACTAATATTCAGACAAATTTTCACTCAAAATGGGTTCTTGGTTTAGTGATAGACTACTCTTGAATTTCTAAGCTTTTGCGTGACGTGGCCTTTACATGACGAGCGAGAGAGCTGTTATGTTGGTTTAAAAGGTGACTTATTTAGGGAAATTCAGCTATCTGAACAGTTCTTGTATTAGAATAAAGTATTATTGTTACGTTTATGAGTTCTTAGAGAGATAAATTCACGCTTTTGTAGCAAAACTCAGTGACAGATGTTTCTGCTGGTTTCCGGCCGCCATGTTGGTGCCCATCTAGGTGGGCACCAGCATGGCGGCTCCATACAAATCTCTATAAATTTGGGAAAAACGTTTCTCCTCATATCTTCCGTAAGAAAAATTGCTGTGACCTGAATCTTGGCGAGAGTCTTTACATATCTAGCTTCTTTCTATTTCCAGATTCTAGACTAAATCGATTGAACGGTTTTTATTTTTTATTTTGATCTATTTTGAATGGCGTGACACTGAAAACCAGCAATTGCCCAAAACGCTGAGGCGAAAATTAAGTTTCTTGAATCCATGGTGTTGTAGAACAGATTTGTTAAGAAAGCGTCGCCAGTTCATCATAGAGCCGCCCGGGATTGAGCCGGAACAATTTTTAGACACCTGTAAAAGAGGAGTAGACCCAGAAGGGGGCCTAGACTGTCGAAGTATCGAATTAAGCAACCGACGGACATGACAATATTCAAGCTGCACCTCTTTGAAGTAACATTGACTTCTAAGTCTACTTTCTTGTGTTCACCTCTGCTAGACTGTTTGTTTCCTCACTGAAATTGTTACTATGATGATTACCAGCGTAGAGTTTTTGCTTCGAGGTCCTTTTACATCGTCGCTAAAAATTCGAAAGAACTTCCTGCGAAATTGAACGCTTATGCCCGATCGAAGTCTCATTTGACTCGTTCTGACTGTCGAACTAACAACGGTAATTATTTCTTACTTTTCGAACAGGGTACGTTCAAAACAAGAAAGCTCAGAGCTGCTGCATTTAGGCGAATGAGATATCAGTTTGCTATAAAATCAATCTTGAATAAAAACTTAAGTGCACGTGTAACTACCACGCGACTGAACTACTAGGCGAACATGGATAGAGTAAACATTTTCATTTTATGCTCTTCGGATGGGCAGTAACGTATTGTAATTTCTCATTTCTTTTGAAGCTGGACGACGACGTGTTTGTGCATATTCCAAGAGTTCTTTCCTTTTAGAGTGCTCCCAACACGCCGAAGAAAAAGCTTTACGCTGGCAATCATTGCACAAATAATGTTCCTTTTAAGAGAGGAAAATGGAAGGTAACTTACGAGGAATATAACGAGACGATATTTGGATTTCTGCCCCGGCTTTGGATGTATTTTACCTCACGACGTTGTAAGTCTATTTGTCGAAACGTTCTTTTATGTTCCGCTCTTTTGACTGGACGATGTCTACCAGGCGTTCTCTCAAATAGGAACGGAGTAAGTGCCACAAACAATAATAGATTTGAGGTATGGAATCCACCAGGACTTGGAGGAGAATGCCAGATGAAGATAGAAACTTTCGTAACTTCGTGGTTAATAATTGTTAACATGAGATAAAAAAATCTACGAGGGTTCTAAATAAGGCTCCGATAATTAAGTATGTAAATTTAAATTTCTGAATATCTCAAGGGAGTTAATTCTATTTGCCCTGTGGGCTGATGCAAGATAGTATTGCGCCTTAGCGAACTAAGTTTGTTGCTGAATTTAAGAGCGAAAACACGTTTTATTTGACATTTCTGTAGAAATTATCTTTGTTAAGCGGTAAAAGGAACATTATTTGTTTAATGATTGCCAGCGTAAAGCCTTTCCTTCAGCGTGTTGGGCGCACTCAAAAAGGAAAAAACCCTTGGAATGTGACAAACACGTCATCGTCAAACTTCAAAAGAAGCGAGAAATTACAATACGTAACTGCCCATTTGAAGCCCATTTGTATCTCGGGTTTGATTCCAGAGGTCAAGTAGTAGTTAAAACAACTGGCTCGCTCAAGGTCAAGAAAACAATAGTCCACCTTGGTTTAAATGCTCTTTCGAAAGCTCCTAACTTGCGAATGTTATTCCTTTTTTTAAATTTACCTGAAGCGGATGAAATGATCATAAGATGATAATATTGCGTACAAGATATCGTGATCATGAGAGATGTTCTGTGCTTCATTTGTGAAGTAGAAGTTGCTGTCAAGGATCTTGATGAAGTTGTTTGAAGAGCATGGTTTATATTTTAAGGGTATCACTTTATTGGTTCTTCAACAGCGATGATTGAAAAGGACGAGCCCCATAATATACCAAACTGGATGGTGGATACAATGATGTCGTCCCCAGAAGGACTAAAACCAAAAATACCTTTTCGTCTCCTTTTGGATCATTCTTTTCCAAACAGCAAAAACGTACTGATATGGTCACGTGAAAGGAAAACTATACATCACAGCCAGATGTATGCAAATTTAGTTGAAGAGGTGGATATTGCTATAATGCAGATTTTTCGTTTCAATAATAGGGCGAAGTGTCATTATAACTTGCTACTTACATTTAAACAGACAATTTATCTATCCGACGCAATTGACTCCCTATCTTACCTTCCCTGAACACAAAGCGATTGTACGAAGTACCTCATTTCAAAAAGAAGACTGCTCTACTAGATGTCCCTGTAGTTTGAATATCGAAAGAAAATTCTAGACGTTACGGTGCAAGTGACTGAGGTTCGAAAACAACCCCACACGGCAAAATAAATGCATTCCCCAAATAAACACTATGTTGATACACAACTTAAATTTCAGGTATTAAAAATATATTAATAGGCGGGAACGTAGAAGCCTTAAAAGAGGTAAAGATAATCAAAGCTAATTTTTAATCAAAACTAGACGCATATTTGCGTTCACCCAGGCTTTCTGTTGGAAATAAAGTTTGTTTTTGTGCTTGCATTTGCCTAAGTTTTTATGTAATTATTGGTTTATCCTGTAACTGGTTTTTTCTCTTGGTATGCAATCCCTAAAGAATCAGGTGATAATATAATACCAATGTCAGACCAAAAGGAAATACAAATAAGAATAGCACTGTCGTATTTAAAACTGATAATAATTGATGAAATCTCTTTGGTATCAAATACTTTGCTTATTGTACATCCATCAACAACTAAAAGAAATATTGTCAACATCAAACAACTGTCCATTTGCAAGACTTAGCATTATTAAAGTTGTTGATTTGTATTAACTTCCACCAATTTGAAGAAAATTTGTCTTTGAAGAATGTAAAAATAATGTTTACAATTTGTGCCATTCCTAGCTACTTTTCAAGATGATAGAGTTGACTAAAAAATGAGACAAAAGGATGACCAACCATTCACAGAGTTATTAATTAGATTCAGAACTGCTTCACAAATAGAGGGTGAAATTCAATGCATTCAGTCATGGCTGGTGCATCCTGAAGATACTGATTACCCAGTATCCATTGTTTTGTATTTTTGGGACAGTTTTTCCTGTATTTCCTGTTTATTTTTCATATTCCTAAATTGCTTTTCTCCAATAATATTTTTTTCTCTGCTGGCTCCATTGCTTTATAGCATTGTTTTTTTTTCTATGTTTAATCATCAATTTTTTCTTTCCTTTCTATCAACTACTTTACTTGAACATGTAGCAAACAGTATTCTGTATTGCCCTAGAGTATTATATTTCTCTAGTTTTTTTCTAATGGCATCAACAAGTGAAGCCATTCCATTTATGTTTTTAATGTACTGAATAGGAGACATGTGTCTTTCATTATAAGGCAGGGGGAATACATAAAATTTGATCTTTTTGTGGGTTTAAAGGTACAACTGTTGCAGTACAAAGAAAATGATGACAAAAACCCTGTACATTCACTATTATGTATTATTTCGTTCTCAAGTATTGATTTGCATTGAAGTGAATCAGTCAATAGTCCTTCACTCTCAAACAAATTATCCAAATTTACTTCAGTTTCACAAACATCTACAGTTCTTGGAAGATTAGCTGGTGATTACTCATTGTGTTCTAAACTTGATTTACAACACATCTTTTTGCCTTTGTCAACAATAGTGGGTAAGGATGAGTTGTAATTCCAGTAATAACATGATTTCTTTATAGAGTAGTAAAGAGAGTATAAAGCTACACCACAACTTAGATTAAAGTTTATGATTTCATTCAGCCTGTTTTGAGAAACCAGCCTATTTTGAATATTCTCAATTTGTGCTTCTCTCTCTTCAAATATATTGTTGTTATGTATACTCTGAAAATAATGCACTAAACTATCAAGAGAAAGTACTTTAAGAAGAACACATGTACCTTGAGGCTGCCCTCTACCATACAAGTCTCTTACATGAGATTCAAATATTTTGAACCCCATATTACTATTACAGTAATACACCCTACTGTTAACATGAAATTGGTGTAGCTTTCAAATATGAGTGACTCAAAGGCTCTTGGTAAAGATGTACAGTACAGATATCCCTCTATAGCAATTTCTTAGTGAACAGTACCAGAGTAGCTTTCACTGTATTCCAGTTGATAATCAGTATCAAACACATTTAATGCTGTTGGTAATTCTGACTGCATTAAATATGCCTGTCTGGCTAATCATGACAAACTTGAATAAAGCTGAATTCCAATATTCATTATTTGTATAAGATCATTTGCAAAGCTGATCCCTTGTGTGTCATTGTAAATCAAAGAACACAAACTCATTGCAACACATTGTTGTCCTGCATTCTGTCCAAAACTAACTCGTTACCGTGACTATAGGAAGCTACTATTGTTTTGTTAGGGTCAACATATGTTGGAGGGCCAGGATTTTTTTCTGTCTCTACTTAATTCATAGTTGCAAAAATTTGCTAAACGAGCTTCGTTCTTGCAAGAACACATCAGTTTGTTACAAGAAAACAATTTCAAATATCGACTGGTACAATATTTCACCTTTCATATACATTGACGAATTCTTTCACAAAAGTTAACCTTAAATGTCTTTTTATTTAATAGTTTTTTAGAGTTAATATAACAGTGTAATGTAGATGATATGGGGATACATGGGAGGCAAATTGCATAGACAAATTTTTCTAACCTTTCTGCTCTTGTTCCTTAAAATTTTAAACTTCGTATTGGTATTCTGCTTGGTTCACGTTCACGTCTACATACATGATGAGATTTGCATCTATGCTTCTCTCGATTAACATTAGATAGCTCGGTTGATATAGCATGTTTCTCGATGAAAGGTTCCCCGATAAATGTTCGCTCATAAGAGATATCGTATAAGATTCACGGAACGACCCGTTCCGAAAACGCTCGAAATCTTTCAGTGTGGGTCTACCGCGAACGATGTAGGCATATTTTGTATGCGTTTTGAGCGTCTCATACACATTGTCTGTGCTGATTTTGTACCGCGAAAGCTTCTCTTCGTCCGCCATTTCACCATCCTGTGTGCTCATTAGTCAAAACGTTACGCATGCGTGATGAGGACTTGACTGCGATTTGCGACCGAACGACGAAGAAGAACCAAGCCGGAATTTCCCTTGGAAAGCCCGAGTAATTAATTCTTTTAGTCCAGGGGCAGAACAGGCAGATCACACTATGTGTTAATGATTAGTTATTGTTGACATTAACACTTGTGGTATTTTTTGGCCTTCATGGGCCGTTTGAGGTGTTTTTTTACGATATTACTTTCCGCAGTTTGAATGCAATAAGCTCCACGTGAAAAAGCACATTGGCCGAGGAAGCTTTGGGGAGATTTTGGTTTCTCTTACCGAATTCCGAATTACACGGTTCTTAGAGACACTTAGTTCGTGGTAAAGGGGGACGCAATAAAAGATGCGTTTAATCACGTCCTTTATCATGAGGAGCTTTGGTCCCGAAAAAAATTTGCAGCCTGCATTCTACGAAGGCGCTACATTTCTGTCCTCAGTATAGAGAATTACATTAACGCTTGCGGTCGGTTGGTGTCACAATAAAAAACACAAAAACACAATAAATCTTGCATCAGAATCACTTGGCGTGATCTCATCATGGAGGTTGAAGTCTTGGATCGATCGGCTGAGCTTTCTAGAGTTACGGGATCCAATCTCGACCCCAAAAAGTACTGGTATGTGCTTACGAAAAAGTTAAATGTGAAATCAGGCCGAACGCTTTTGCAAACGAATTGTTTCGTCGATTCCGCAATGACTACAATACGCTCTATCCCGGCAGCAGGTCTCAAGCGCACCAACAAAGGCTGTTCGTTCAACGCCCGGTAACCAAACAACATGTAGGGTTGCATCTTCAACTGGTATCTATGCCAGACTAATTAGACAGGGGGAATTCCAGCAGATGGATTCGCGAGGTCTCAAAATATAATCCTGTTGTTGATGCAGTAAACCAAATCGCTCTCGACCGTACACTTTAGGCGGGAAATGCCTCTAGTCGAATAATCATGGGAAATTGCAAAGATGTCAGCCAAGAATAGCCGAGCTTGACAACGACATTCGGGAACTAGTAAAGGACAATAATTATATAAGTTAAAAGTGGATGCCTCGACTTTCAGTCAAAAGAAAGAGACCAGACAAAGAGAGGTCTCCTGATATAAATTAGTGTGAATTCAATTTTCGTGCCCTCTTGGGTAGTGTACACTTGAGGGTTACTTTTAATCTCTTCTATACCCTTCTGGGTAGTCTATACCTGAGAGTTATTTTTAATCTCTTCTAATCAACGCAGTTTCTAGACTTTAAAAGTTCAAAACCATGACATGTATAAAGAAGAGTTTGTCGAAGTTAGCCTCATATAGGCCAAGGTCTTCGATCATGGAGGTGAAATCAGCTTTACCGGTGCCGCTTTTTAGGCCATTTTGAGTTTCTTCTTTTTACGTGTCGAGCGAAATAACATTGAATGCGCAGCCAACAGTAGGTAACTTATGTTGGCTTATGTTGGGAGCGAAGTAACTTATTTGATGGAGCGATCTAACCATGATGTGATGTAACCGTAATTATTTGTTACACATGAAAGGTGACTTATTAAACTACAAATGAAAACATGGGGTAAATTTCTTGAGAAACTGTGGTGCTACGTCGGCGGAGGGTGTTACAAGGTACTTCCGTTTTATTAACTGAGTTGGCAATGTAAATTAGCCACCGTAGCGAGTTTCTAAAACTGACATTCCGTGCGTTATCCCTTCGTCAGAGCGAATAGGAAAGGCTAAAGCTTTGACAGTAAACTAAAGCTGAAGACACATTTTTACTAACGTATAATTTTGCTCTTCATTCACGGTAATCCGTTCGCAACTGCAGAATGTAACGTTACACTCCGCTTTTAACAGGATTCCTCAATTCTCTTGGTTACTTTGCTTATCAAATATAATACAATGTAATATCTCTTCGTAAATTTAAACTTTGCTTCCTCAAATTTGCCACAATAGCTGAATTCTAGGCAATAATATCACACATATCATATCTTTGTCATTGAGAAAGATGCTCTAACAAAAATTTGATTAATATAGAAATTTTACCGCGTGTCTACACGTATATTTCTGCATTTATGCAAAGCCTACCTGTGGCCTTCAAAATACAGACAAAAACAAAACAAACTTTCTCAGTTTCCTTTGACATCAAGAATTAGGAAACATTCGTTTTGTTGCATCGAGGTCACCAGCAAGTGGATATGGTACCCAGTCACCTCCCCACCAAAGTGTAATCGATTTCGCCACCAAACACTCATCCGGTAACGAATATTGTAATTGTATTAAGTATAGCTATTAAATGTGTGATTAAATAAATACACATTTTCCTGAGCTGTAACTTGCTGCTCTTTGGTTTCCGAAGTTAAAAGTTATCAGAATCTCCTTGGGAGCTTTCAGAACACTCGTTTTACGACAAAAATGCACGCGATCGATCACATTTCTTGTCGATCTTGTCGTCCGTTCGTTCGATTAATAAGTTACAGTCACTTTGGTTTACTTTTCCTTTGATGAACATCAAATAAGTTTGGTGGCAATTGGTGGTGGTGATATTGCCGCAGTGGCGAGCTCGCTGGTGGCGAGTCTTCCTGGTGGCGAGATGACTGTAAACCGCGCAGATACATTGAGGGCTTCACTGAATGGTATCCTCTAAAGACTTTTTATCTATTTTCAAGTTTCCCTCTAAGAAAATACTTGTTTACCAGCACATCTGGGTATTAAGCCATTATTAGTTGAGTTTGAGCGTGGTATTACGAGTTATCAATACCGACGTCTGAGTTATCTGTCGAAGCCAGAAGCTGACAACAGATAACACAGACACGAGGTTGGATCCTTCTTGATATCATGTGAAACCGAATTAAATAATTTTGTTTTAATACATTTTTCAAACTAGCTGCAAATGTTTGAGTCTGCAAAAGTTTAAGGACAATTATAGGACGAGGATCTTACAAACTAGGTAGATTTTGAACTCGACAAGATAACCCAATACCTGCTGCAGATATTGCGTTATCATGACAAATTCACACGTTATTGTATATTGAATGTATGCTCTCCACCAATCAGAGTTTCAGAGTAAGTCTGACGTATAATCATACCTCTTAAAATCTGCACGATAACCGGGTTATACCAGCTGTTTCCCACAGCACATGCGAACGTATCCAGGAGGGATAAAATTACTTCGTACGACAGACTATTTTTGGACATAAATCGGTCAATGTCAAGGCAAGAAAAAAGTGAGAACTGCTTTCACTATCACACGAGAACAACTTCAAATTCTTCCGTCGCAGAATGATCACAAATTAGATCAATAGGGGCAAGGAATAGGAGAAACTTCTCTTAAAAGAAACCGCAAAAATGAAACTCATACTTCCAGTGGTTACCTAAAAAGACAGACACTTCAAGGTCTTTGCCTCTAGAACTGGCTTGAAACAAAACAAAGTTTAATAAAGTGCAAAAGAAGTAGTCTAGTTTTACGCTCGTCTAGGACTATGTCAGAACCCTTTCCCACCGCCCACAGTCATCTGTTCAGCAGTTTGGTAAATAGGCTGAAGACAAGTTCTCCCCGTTTGCTCCTCGCTTGACTTGTACTCGCCGCTTGACTAATTCTCATCGTCTACGCTTCATGCTTGAAAAGGAGGGCTTGATCTCAGTATAAACTTTGAATTTTCGAAATGGAAGCTTCGGTTAGAGTTCAGAATGTGCCGCCACTTCAGGCTTGAACAACGGCAATTCTTCCAATCGCTTTTCCTCTTTTGCCATCTGAAAAGTTTCCCAGGCAACTTTTCGAAGTTGTTCGTCATGTTTTTTTCGTAAAGTAAACCACAGAGCCAGAGCGCACCTGCGCCCCTCTCGAATGCCGGCCACACCGTGAAGATTCTCCAGTCCAGCTGAAAAAGCCACGGCACGTCCGCATTCAGGTTTAAGTTTAGCCTGCGAAACACGAGGATTGCTGAGAAAGATTTATATAGGTACCTAATCGAGCGCGCCTCGTCACGCAAGTGCAACAAGCCCTCTTTGTGCGCGTTGTGTGACTTAATGGTTGCGTCGACGATTATATGCAACATGGAATGTCTTGAGAACTAGAGAATAATTATGGCGGATGACAGTCACGCTTCAAACTGCCAAAAGTATGGGAGTGCTTCATTTCAAAACAGATACATACTAGCATTATCATCCGGGTTCAGTACGTCTTAGCATGATGATTCCACAGAGTGATGTTTAAAGCGGCGTAGCTGTATTTTAAATCAAAACTAGATTATCTGTGGATTTGTGAGCCGTTTAACCGTTTACTAAATCCTATGATCTGGTCATCAATCAGGCTCCCTCCTAGAAGTAAAACATTTGCAGTCTCTTACTAATACATCTATCACCTGTCTACTGGTTAAAGTTACTTGCTTGTCACTTGTGAGACATGAAAGGGTCATACCTGAACAGAATCATCAGGATTAGCAAACAGAAACTCCCCTCCTTTGAAATCGCCATTCAGATACAGCAGAGCACTGAAATTAAATTAAAGAAAAATGGAACAGAATACCACTGATAAGAATTGTAACAGCAGTTTAACCATTTCGTAGAAGTGAGCGAGCGTTGTTCTTATTGCACGAAAAAGTCCACTTAAAGGTAAATTCCGGAAAAATAAGGCTTGAATGGGATAGGAGCCGCAAAGAGATGGCGGTTGTGTGGAGCCTTCAGGATTTCTACACAAGGGGGGGGGAACTTTTCAAAATTCATAATGTGAACAGTGTTGCCTTCTATTTGAGATAAAAATAATCGATACTACCAAAAAAGAAGTATTTAAGAATAAAAAGCCCGAAAAAAAATGAAATGGTCAATCCACCCTGTTCTCATTCCCCACTTGATAATCATCTGTCTTGACCCTTCACGCCTTAATATAAGCATCCATATTCTCCTTACTTTTCCCCATTTATTTCCTTTGGCACTGACAAGGAGAATTGGTTTAACAATCAGTTAGGTTGGCGATCATTTCCCTTATTCTCACGATCTTAATGAATGATTCAGCAGTATTACTGGGGGCAGAAATTCGATGGTGGTCGCTCTTAGGGTTTGGAGGGACAAGGAGAGACATGATAAATATGATTACACATTAACAAAAATTAGGGCGGCAGAAAACTCGCTATGTAAAGCGATCACACTTAGAGTCTTCTAAAGGCTAGAGGTTCTATTTCCCTCTGTCTTCATTCTATGCGAAAGCCACGCAAGCTGAGCAAAAACGGTATCAAAGGTCACCCAACTCCCATATCATAGTCACCTGAAATATTCTGACATACCTGAAATCTCTCCACGTATAAGCTGGCGACCGCTTGGGACAAGAGCCCAGTCCATCAAGGTTCAGTAAACAGTTGTCGGAATGAATTGGGTGGCTCAAATGGAAGCCTGGATTGGGATCATTGGGGTCTAGGTTGGATAGAGATCGCCTTGGTTACAATAAATTTTCATCAAAGGAGCAATTCGATGTGACTAAATTTCAGCTCATATATGCCTTCGTGTAGCCGTACCCTCCGCCGAAAGAGAAACGGAAGGAAGGGAACGTCTACGAAAACCTGACACGAATCGTGTTATATGACGTCACTCTGCCGCCCGTAGAGAGCCTCAGTAAAATCGTCAAATCGTCAAATTTGCGGCTAAAAGTGAAAGCAATTCAACTCACCCATCAGCGAGGTGCGGCAGACAAGATGTGAATATGAAAAATACAAAGGTGTGTCTAGTTGAAAATAATCCTCGGTAAACTGCCGAACTTTATCGCTCAGGTTGAAGTACAGCTCCACTTCCTCTAGAGGTACTTCCTTTCGACGAGCTGCCTGATAGATTCAAATAACAAAATAGCGGTAAGCCAGGAGAGAAAGGCAAGATTCTAGAGGCCATATTTTTAACGACCACGGTGTAACTTGAATTGTATTGAAGAGTAAACGCTGACACGTGAAAGTGTTTACCCCGCAGAATTCTCGCTTGGCTTAAGTTTCTCCCGCTTGGTTAAAAGAAACTGGAAATTAGCTGTGGAATTTGAACGTCATTTAACGTTCATGAGTAAGCCGTAATTCTCAATTAGAGAAATACCTCTCCATTTCATCCAGTATTTTCGAACGTTTTATTTTCAAATGTGTCCCGCCAGTACCCATTCACTTCGAAAATCAACATACGTGGCTCAACCTACGGTTTTGTGATTTTCGAGTGAAGAAAAGGCACAGGGAGGGTAACGCGTCCTTCCCTGAGTGCCTCGATCACCCGATGACCAGGTCTCAAATCAAGACTTATCGATTCAGATTACTGTGCACTGATCACTAAATTTTGGTCAACACCTCTGTCAGTAATTCAAAAGAGGACAAAATTTTCATGCACACACAAAAATTGATGTACCTTTGAAGCAGAGAGTATCGTGACGCCGGAAAAGGTTTCTTTCTCAGTGAAAGAGAATGGCTTGTCGTCCTTGTTCCGTTGATCATAACCATCACCAAGTGTGGCTGTCTTCTGGAACAAACCAAACAGATCAAGACCCAAATGTATAGTACGACATGACCCTCGCTGGAAAACTCGATGAACACGATGCTTGAACCATTTTTCTTTGCGAAAAACGATGATCGAGAATTGAGATTTATTGGTACAAGACAAAAATTTCTTGATATGCAATCACGATATAAATTAATGGACCACAGGGAAGCTAGACATCAATTGCAAGTGTTAAAACTTCAACTTCCAAAAAATTCCTCAATACATTCATTTGATAAAACAGAATCCTTTGTCAATCCAATTTGCTGAAAACCTCAGGTTCATCATGATTTACATCAAGATGGTTTTAATTCTATCATTTAGGGAAGGTACGCTGTAATTAAATTTCAGAGGATGAATTTATAGTCTTTATCAAGCATGTTTAAACTAGTGGATAATTATGTCGTGCTCTTATTTTCGTTTAACAGTTTACTTGACCACTGGCTTTATTCTCGTCAAACTATTTTCTCAACATCCTTGTGACGCAATCGGAACAAAATTCTAAAAAAAGGAAGTCAAAGATTTCTTTAGAGAAGAATCTCCCGGAAGAATTTGTTGAGTGACTGCATATCAAGACATTTGTCATCAATAATCTCCAAGATTCAAGTTTTTTGTGTGTTTCTATTTTTTTCGACAAACAGAATGGAAAATTTCAGATTTAAACTAGCACTTGACACTTTCTTTACAGCATTATCCTTACATCTTCAAAACAATTTCAAAATTTTGGCCAGAAATTACAATTTAATGTTGTTTACAATTTAAATCCTAGTTTTACATATATTTACAATCAAAACATTTTGTTTACATTCAATTAAGTGCAGCTCTTTTTTTAAATTTACAATTATGTTTATCTATTCATATCAAATCAAGCCAATCAGTTATGTACCAAATCAAATAAAAACATCTGAAATTACAAAAAAATAAAAATAAAAATGAAGTAAGGTTTTTGTTTTTAGGGTAAACATTTACGTTGCTCAAAATTATTTATGGTTTAAATGTAGCCACAAGTAATCATTGTTTCATGACATTTTACCATTTTAGAGGGTCATGTCTTTAACCTTATCATTTAAATGTGATAAACAAGCTGGCAAAAATCAGTTGAAATATATTTACTTTAGGTGCAGGATGACTAACAGAGGCTGCAAATGCCATTCTTTGTAAGAACATTTGCATATTGTTTCCAAATACATCAAAAGTACTCTGTTCTTTTTATATGATTAGAGGGGTTTGGAAAATGATGAAGTATGACTCCAAGGTTTATTTGACACAGATGGGCCAAAAAAAAAGTGTTTTAATTGGTGTTTTTGTTCAAGATGTGTTTGCTTCTTGTTTTTACTATTTTGTCATTTCTTTGTTTTGGTTTCTTTTTTTTTTGTTTTTATCATTTCTTCGTTTTGGTTTCTTGTTAAACAGAGCTTGTTGTGGTGAGTTTGACTAACACACAGTACACATATCTACTTGAATTCAGAAAAGGAAAATAAAACATTCTTTGAAGTTAAACTGAAAAATTTCCAACAAGGTTGTTTAATACATGCAAGTGTTACATAACTTTATATTATCAAATGATGGCTGCCAGCTTGTTTTAATATTTAAGCCTATCTTTATGCCTTACGATTAAAACTTAAAAGTTGGCAGCAAATCTGTGTGGAACTATTCAAAGCAAAATAAATTACAAACACAAGCAAGGTAAGTAAATATATCATGTTAAGAAGAACATAATCACATGCTGTAGATTGAATTACGGATCATGCGCTAAAGCAGTTGGTATATCTCTTTGGGGGATAATTCAGACTTTGAAAAGTGTGGTTGCCAGAAGTTAATTGGAGGCAGTAAAAGTGTATTTTCATGTTCAAATTCCTTTACAACCAAATTGGTTTAATCAAAATGTCTACAGGGGGTATGTTTGTATCTTTGCATGAAGCATGTGTAAATGATTTCCCCCTTTTACTTCAAAATCATGGCCTGATGACTTATCTGCCTCTCAGGCTACAGTAAAGCTGTTCATGTCATTGATCCTAAGTTGTGTGCAAGGTGCAGTATTTGGGTATATTGTCATTTTTGGAAAGGAAGAGCAAATTTAAGGAAGAAGAGGCTTGCATTATGAGGCATATGAAAATTTGGGTCTTGGGTCTTACAGCAGAATTGTAGCATCACATTATATTCACCTGTGCAAGTTCAACAGAAACAAACTGCATACCTCAGCTAATTTAATCAACATCTTGCATTCCTTTTCAGTTGCCATTCCATCCACGGCAACCCTCCATGTGCCATTGAGGTCAGCCTCAGTCATAAGAATCTTTGATCCCTGAAGAGTAAATAAAATGCGATCATCACCAATTAGAGAATAACACAAGATGTAAAATTTTTTGTGAGCTAGCCAGGCCTGAAAGCTTGAATTTCATAAATGAATATGCATTTAGTAGTTGCTGCCCTTTCATACACAAAAGCAGTAGCTAAAAGCAAATGTGCAAGAGTGGGGCTATCAACCTCCCCCCCCCTTCATCCTTCACTTAGGACTGTTACCCTGGGAAAAAATCATGCTGGGATCTTAATTATAAAGCTAAACTCTGCTCAAAACACACATTTTCTATCATTTCATCAACCCTACCTTATATCTTTCAAAATTTACAACATCATCTGGCTTCTCCACTAGTGATTCTTTCTTGATTGGTCCCAGACCCCAGAGCTTCTCAACAGTGTAAGTTTCCTCCCCTTCTACCAGATCCTGAAAGAAGTAAGAAACATGTAAAAAGTAAATAAACTAAAACATCTGATAGCAGTTTGCCTACGTTGGATCTTGTGTGAAGGAGAATCATACAAAATGTATCTTCCCCCCCCCCCAGGAAACATCAGCATTATATATAAATATTATGAGAGGAAAAAATGACGCAACTACATATCCCGACAAGCCTGTTTCGTGAATCGCTTCACTCTTCAGGGGTTTAATTAAATTTAATTAATTTTAAGTGACAGGTCTTAGTGTTCAAACTTTTTCCTACTTAATAAGACTTATCAAAATTAATTTCATTAATTGGTTGAATAAATTGACAAAGCAGACTTAATTTTTTTGTTTATTAATTCACTTGTGTCTTTTAAAAACACAGATACATGTACCATTAGGCACTTTTGTCCCTTCCGTACGTAAGGCAGTCCATAAGGAATCTACTTGTAACATAAGTATATCACTCAAAAAATATGTAGGTACATGTGCATCTACATTGTTTATAATGAGCTCATAAACCTGTTGGCGCTTAATCAATACATGTAAGGGTAATTGGACTTGATTGTTGTTCACTTCTTACAGAGTCTAATAATCACACTGACCTCCAGTTTCACTTCTTGTTCTTTTGGTTCATCATCCTGACCATCATGAAACCAGGTGTCACTGTCATCAAAATCTGCCTCATCCATGTACACCTTTGCCATCTGTAACAGTTTCCGCTCAATTGATGCTTCCTTGAAATACTGAATTGCTGCCTGAAAGTGATTTGGAGTTGAAAATCCATATTGTTGAAAAACTAGAGTTGCTGGTAACAGTATGAGTATTTTGAAGTTTTTGTCAACCCTTTCAATACCAAGATCTCACTGATAATTCTCCTTACCATATGCCATACAATTCTTATTATGTTGGGCTGGAGAATTTGGTATTGGATCAACTAATAAATTTTTCAGAATTTTCATCACTTGTCTCCTTGATATTTTATTGATATTGTCATGAGAATTCCTGTCTTCACTACTCACGAAGGTTTAAGAGTTAAGACCATCCAAACACCCTGACAAAACCACACCTCACACTGGCAGTGAACAAGAACTGATGAAATAACTTTAATTAGTGCTTTCTTCACCATAAACACAAAAGGTAGCATCCCCAAGAAAGAGGTCATGAATGAAAGTAAATAACCCTTGACCATTTGAGAATAATATGCTCTAAACTCACCTGTCTTCAAGCTATATTGTATCTGCTTGTAAGATTATTTGTTTTTATCAACTGAGTTAAAATTAAATTGGTCACTGAGGAGAGATTCTAAAGCTGACATTTTGAATGTTAGTGCTTTGCCAGGGTGGATCCAAGAAGCGAATTTGAATACATGGTTTCTATGATGAAGGGTGAAATGCTCAAAAGGTCAGCTTTAATAAAAAATCTTCCCAGTGGACCATTTAAATCCTCAAATCAGCTGAGAAAGCCAATTGAAATTGTCTTGTTAAACTCCTCCAATGATGCAGCATCACAGTTTCTTTAGAATACTACCTTCTTTATTCATTTTCTTGACTGTGTGTTTGCTGATAAAAAAGATTCCAGTTCATACATTTGATGGCTACTTTGTTACCTTTCTTGCTGTTATTTTTAAGCTCTGATCTCCCAGTTCCTGTTTGAAGTATCTCAAGTTGTCAATCATTGTATCATCATCTGGATCCAACAGCAGATAACTTGCAGCACATCCAGCAGCATCCCATAACTTTCCCACTGAGGATTGAAAATTGATAAATTTAACAGAGAAAATAATAATAATCACACAACAGACACGTAAATGTACCAAAAAATACAGACCAAAACTGGCAATAAAGCCTAAATCTTTGGATCCAGGGAGCCTTAGAATCCAGAAAAAAATGTACAGTGTTTGGACTGGGCATTTAAGCAAGAGCTCCAGATTGCTACAGTGCAGTTTTTTTCTATATTTTTATGGACCAAAGTACAAATGTAAAGCCAAGGTTCACTAAAATGTAAATCTAAAAGTTTTATGGAAGTAAATAGAGGTAAAACACTAGAAAAAAATTTTTAGCTAAATTGTACATCATGAAATAGAAACATGTTTTCTTCTTGTAACAAGCATTTAGATGCAAGAACCATATAAAATAGTTCAAGCAATTTCATCAGGATATTGCTTGGAGTTAATTCAAGAAACACTCAGATTGACTATTTTGTCAACACTAACGTTTAAAATACGCCATCTGAAGATAGTTGTAATGTCTTGCAAGATAATTCTTCACAAAAATCCCCTTCACTTCCCTCAGTTTATCAGGGCATACATTGCGGCATTCCAAAATGTCAACATGAACCCCAAACAAGCCAGATCTGCCTAAAATCTTGTTTTTCTCGCGTTCCTCTTCACACATTATTTTGCAGTTGTCATATGCAGTGTAGTACTCTTCAAGAGCTTGTTCAAATCCCTGGATGGCATCACTCCACTGTTCTTCTTCATACAGCTGGGCAGCATTGAAATAACTCTCTTGGTGAAGTGTGGGTTCTAAGGAGAAAATCCCAGCTTCTGCAACACCAGGCATTTGCTTGTAAATCTTTACATTGTCTGCCATGGCCTTGTCTTGTGGTTGAGTTTCTGTGCACGTATAAGCTGCTCTGGCAGCATCCACTGTCCTTCCAGCCTGTGAGATGAAACACAAATGTGTAAGAACTTAAAAGTGATTAAGAATTGGTGGTCATTTTGTTTGGCTTGCTTGACATCAGGTTAATTGGTGTGAGTACAAGCCCTAGGTCACGCATCATAGTTTCTTCCAAGGGAAGATTCTCCCTTTACTTCTTTTACCAAGAGGGAGTGAAGGATTTGAAACAGTTGTTTTGGAACAATAATACAATTTTAACAGTGATATACTGTACATGTACATGTGTACATTGCGCGCGCAGGATGTAGTTCAAAATTTTCTTTGATTTAAAATCTATCTAAAAAATTTAACTTTAAATTCCTGTGTTTTAAATCAGGATTGTTATAAAGGATAAAGAATGCAGAAATTTGAAAATTTAACTTTCCAAAGTTTGAATCAAAATCTGCTGGTTCCCTAAGCCAATAATGACTCATGCCTGAGTGCAAAATGTGATCAATCAAAAGCTCAATTATTATCCTCAGATCATATTTGTATCTTTTTTTTATAAATTTTCACCTTTTGAGACATTCTATACTCCGCAGTTATTGTTGTTGTTACAAATTTATTTGACAGTTGTTATTTGAATGGCACTCTCTATCACAGGAATTGTTAATAAAGCTAATAATCGAAAAAAAGCCTCCTTGCTTTTGTTATTTGAACAATTGTTTTTGGTAAAAGTTACATGCTAGTTTGATATATTTTATTCTGTGTGAGTAACTCTCGGAGAGCTTGGAATCAAATTTCTGAGTAGTATTATGTATAACGTTGTAAAAATCAATAGAAATTCCCTACCATGCAACACTTATCCTTCACAATCTTCAGAGCTCACAGATAAATTTAATCAATTTTTTGTAGCAAATATGCTAAATATGTAAATTAGCAGCTTCTTTAAATTTGCAGCGTTTCTCATGAAAAAGATCGGAAAGAGGCCCAGAGGAAATATCCAGATCATATCTCCCGCCATTCAATAAAAGGCTCCCCCACCTCCCCACTTACTCACTATTTAAAGGGTCAATGCACGATCGATATTAAGCGTGTTTACATTTTACGCGTGAATTCACAAGCATACGAATCTAACAGCCATCTCATTACAATAGCTTCATTCTAGGGAGTTTTAAGAAGTGTTTTGCTGAAATACAATCGCTTGAATGACTCAGTACAATGCGTCTACCACTTTTTTTTCAAATAACACAAAAGCCCGACACTGACGCGAACAAACAGCTGTTGTGTTATCAAAGCTTAGATGTCACGAACGGCCAAAGATAGGGAAATTATCTTATCATGAGCGATACATCTGAAATTGTAGATGGCATAAATTCCAAACAACAAAGCTCAATAGAAATGTGTTATTGTGACTGAAATAAGCAAAACTGTCAGTTTACCAGGCAATTTTTTCTGCAAACACGTGTCTCGCAAAGAACAGTGCAGCCATTTATTTATAAATTTATGTTGTGAAGTTAACGCACAAAGGTTCAATAAAACGTCACGTTGGATTGGCAGGGTAAAATGTTTGACTAAAAGCAAATTCACTCACCTTGTAGTAGGCAAATTGAAGATATCCATACGAAAGCCTTTTCTCGAAGTTGTCCCGAATCGCGACTGAGACCTTGGTTCGCTTACCAAGATATTTTTCTCTGCACTGCTGACTACACTTATGAGAATAAATCGTGTAACGATAATAATTTAGCTCCAAGTCGCTGATTGTGTTATGAGACGATGATGCCTGGAATCTCTCCCGACATCGCAATCTACAATGAATCTTCACTTGTTTTTCGTTTCTATAATCAGCGATTGCCTTCTCTAAGAGTTCGATAGCTTCATTCCACTTTTCATCTCGATACGCGCGTTGCCCGTCTGCAAACAGCTCATCATACGCTGTCGATTTTAGTGCCGTGATATTCAGCCTGCCCAACAAGTCTGCTCGAAGATTTGAGGCTGTAAGTCCGCACAGAGAAAGCCAGAAGAGAAGCCTTGCGGCCATCGTTTCCTGTCTGTTCTTACCCGCTGTATTTGTGCGAGCTTCAATGCTGTTCTGTGACGAAATGCACAATCGATCTCTGATAGATATTTGCGGGTAACTCGACTGTTATTGTCCGATAAACCAATCACAGTTCAGTATCACCGGTAGTTGATAAGTTAAGGCCACTTTGTCTAGCTGCTTTTAAGCGCTTTTCTTTGCTTTTAGGGACCTTCTCAACAATTCTTCAAAACATTGAAATAATACACCAATTCAAAGTGGGTAAAGACCAACCTAAACGCGAAAGCTGTTCCTCATGAGTTGCAGAAACCACCAAATCAAAAGAAGAAAAAAAAATTCGACGCCTTCCTCGTTCATTCCAAGTTGACTTTCTTTCGAACTAATTTCAGGTAACGAGAAACACCTGCATATACCAGAATGTTTAAATTATATTTTAGTGAAACTTCTTCCCTCTACGAAACTCAGTTGTAAAATTAAGTATTTTTCTTAATCTTATGAAACTAATTGTCTTAAGAAGACCACACTTAATGCCGTTTAAAAGGCCACTATAATATTACAACTTATCATATTTAACGAGAATCAGCCTAGCCTGTAAATAATTTCAAAAGGTAGCCTAAGAGTTAATTCGAATGCCAAGCTTATCCACCTCCCATACAGAATGGCTTTATTCATGTATCGTTTCAAAGGTTTCTGGATGATGATTTATGTTAGCTGAGATGTAACTCTGAAAATTCTTTTCACGGTTTCTTTTCATTAACAGGTCAAGTTACAAAAGGTTTCTCGAGCGAATTACATTAAAAAAGGAAGCGAGTGAATGTTACAAAATATTAATTTCCTCAGGGTAAAGATAAACTTCCTCGGTAAATTTTAACAATATGAAATACGGACGAAACATTATAAGTAAGAAACGGCATGGTAATGCCTCATTCAGTATATCATAATAAAACAAAAAGTTCTTGATTAAAAAAAAAAAAAAAAGAAAAAAGAAAAAAACTTGAGAGAATTTAACAAGACTCAGTTTCTGATAAGTGCTCCGGGTTACAAGATTACCAACCCAAAAGCTTTCAAGAGATCCGACAATATTCAGAAATGACTAAAAAGCTAGAGAGAGGACGCCCCCAAAAATTAATTACCGTTTTTCGGGTTGAGGTACATTAATTTCCTTTGAACTTCTGTCTTTTCACTCGCCCGCAGAAATTTTCATTCAATTTGTCCGATATTTCAGTGAAAGCTATTGATCTGTTGCTGCTTTTATAATACTATGTGGTAAGAAATAGTTTCGTTTTTTGTTTCATCTCAGTTATTTTCATGCCCTCTCTATTTTGTTGAACAAAAAAAAGAAAAAAAAAGAAAGAGTAAGCCAAACTCCAATGTCATTACGAGTGCACCTGATACCACAACATAATGTTACCAAAGAGAAAACAACCATTTGATATCCTCTTGTTTTACTGTAAAAGCTTTTAAAATCGGCAATTCATTCAATTGAAATGAATTTCAAGATGCCCTACAGAGTTTAATAAAATTGGTGTCGTTCGTCGCAAGTGAAACATTTGCGAGATTTTAAACTTATGTCCTGGAGGCGTAACTTTTAACATTGAAGCCGAAAAAACCGGAGACGGCGCCCTGAGTGAAAGGGGTCAAATGAGCTTATTTACTCTCAGATTTACCTGTATTTTAAATACGATGCAAACTTACCTTTTTAAAGACAGAAGTTAAATTAATATGCAAAATGAATGGTGCCTTCTTCTATTTCCTCTTTACTTTAATTAATTTTTTCCAGAGCCTGGCACTTAATTCCTCAAAACCATCAGATCGTTTAATTTGTTTTGAAAAACTGCCGGGATTTTAATCTGTGAGTAATGGTGCTATAGCGTGCAGGTTCTCTTACATAGCTCGACTGCAAACTCTGGATCAAGTGCCTTTACAGGGTTATAAAAAATTACTTTTTTGGTATATTCTTCGTTTACGCCCCGCAATTCACCTCGTCTTTACGCAAGCACTTATATTTTTATGTAATGAAGATGTTGGAGCCTTTAAGATTCTTCTTCAGCAAGCACTTTGTGTCGTAACTGCTCAAAGCGCCGACACATCAATCAATTGTAGAACTTTGACGCTCTAACGAGGCCTTTCAAGGGATCTTGACGACAAGCGACATTGCTAAAAATAACGTGGCGGCAATTTTGTTCCGATGAGCCGACAGCCGACAAAAACTGACAGAATAGGAAAGACAGTAAAGGTCATCTGGGCAATAATTTCAGATAATTCCCAAGGCGCTTTAAATTATGGCTTTTGTTATAGCACACTTATGTTAAGTTTAGCAACGTCAGTCAATTGACAGTGACCAATAATCCCATCCATGATCATTCATTTTGTGGAAAGACTTTAAACATTAAGATCACGGACAGTGGGCCAGCCAGCTTACAGCCCGCGCGCTGTGTTCGGCGCGAATGACAAGTGACGGCTTCCTTTTTCAAATATACACATTATTTCTCAATGCATAAATACTTACTTGAAATGAATAATTATAGGCAGAACACTGAATTAAAGTTCAGTAACAAGATTAGCCAAAATTCGCTCCCAGCATGACAGCATGCGTAAAAAAAAAGAAAATCCAGGTCTCATGGTATGAAGCCATCTCTATCATTACATCGTAAGGGAAAGTTATTAAAAGATATCCTGGTCAGGACTTAACTCTAAAGAAAGAAGATTTAAAATCGCTTGCAAATGGTGAGTCACGCAGGCCCTTCAACTCTCTTTAACAAGACAATGCAGGCCCTGTACGGAGGGGGTGCGACGGGTGCGTACGCACATCCCCCTCCCCCAACAGGCCACGAAGGTCCGTTTACTCGATACCGGCGATTCAAAAGAAAGTAAGTTACAGAAAAGGCCTTAAAAACGGTCCTTAAAACGCGCAAAATGCGTACTCACTCAACCCAATTTGGTAAAATTTCACGGGGGAGCATGCACCCGGACCCCCGTAAAATCTCGCGCCTCTGGCGCTCGTCAATCAAAGTCAGCCCCTTCTGCTAAAACTTGTTTACGGGCCTTTACGAGTCAGAGACACTTTGTCTAAAAGTGGGAGATTCAAAATGGCCTGTGAATGGCAGGAGTCGCGTTGACCTGTTTAACTTCTTTTTTTAACTACACTTGTAACTAGCCCCAAGAACATTGATGGAGAAGTAGCACCTTCTTCAAAACCAAACGCCTTAATATGCAATATGTAAGGAAAGTATTTAAAAGATATTCTGGTCACAGCTATTAAAATTCTGAAGAAAGAAGATTTCAAAGCGCTTGCGAGTGTTAGGAGTCGCGCAAGCCCGTCAACACCACTAAGTGGCATTACTCTTGGTCAGTTGAGTTACTCGAGTGCTACAAGACAATGGCGGAACGTATGAATCGGCCCGGCTTGCTTGAGCTCCTTATTCAAATGATGGTATGACGTTCATGTAGAGAGAATTGTGTTCTTTATGGCCATGTGTAAAAATAAGTACGCGAGTGAGGGGAGCTCAGAACGCTACGCCACTGATCGACAATGAAACACAAATACTAAGCCTTGAAGTGATCTTTGGAATTTTTACTTCTACTTAAGCCAGTAGAAATTTATGTGGTTAATCTCATGTCGAAAAGAAAACACTTACGGGCGCTAGCACAAGTCAGAAATTACTGTATTGCCAAATTCTGTGCGACAGCGACATTTGTTCCCAACCAAATAGGCGACAGGAATAGCGAGCGACAAGGCGACATCGAAAACCCCTTTGGAAGGCCTATCTAATGTCTCACCCTCCGTATAGGACATTGTTTTCCAAACAGAGGTTCTTCGACCCCAGGCAGGTGTTCCGGTCACCAGCTAACCTGTTCCAGGCGTTTCTTGAGTAGGACTCGGGTTTCATGTTGACGCCTTGGACGGCGCCCATCTTGAAGCATTCGCAGATAAAGACTAATTCCAGCACAAACCTCACTGCCTCGCTTCGTGTAATGGCAAATGGGGCAAATCTGCATAAAAGCACTATAGTCACCCTTCCAAATCTTATCCCTCTTTCCAAAGTATTAAACAACGTGGGGTATGTCAGATCGTGCCGCACCTAAACTGCAAGATAATTTCTTAGGACAATGATCTTTGCAGAAGCGAGGGAACTACATTGTAAAGAGACCTTTCACTTAAGGTACACTTAATTTTTTTTTAAAAAATAACAAAAGAATATTCCTGATAACTTCAGCAATAAAATGCATATGCTTTATTATGTACAAAGTTCTCCATGGCATCTCTACAAAAGTAATTTAACGCCAGCCCATTTACTAATCTACAGAGGACAACGTTACATACGATTGGGAATGTATGGCGGAAAACTTCTATGTTTGATGAACGATTCAACCCTGCCTACAGAACACTCCGCTATCTATAAATTACATATCCGCATCAATCTTCTCGTCTTCAACAATTCTTCCTTCACATACAGGTACAAAGTGTTCTGGTATTTCATATCTCTTTGCCATTTCATTTATTTCAAAATATATCTGCTCTCTTTTCTTATATCAGATACGGTTCTAGGAGTCAAAAAAGTTCTTTGAAATTCTATTTTTGGTATCTATGTAAATCCCCTTACATAATTTGCAATTTTTTTTTCATTGCGACATACCTGTAGATGATATTTGCTCACTCTACAATGGCTTTAGAAGCCTATCAGACTAATAAAACTTTATCACATGAACATCACAACTTCATCTATTTGCAGTTTTAGAAAATGTAAAATCAGGTAGTAAAAACTGAATTTTTAAAATTCCCATCATCACCAAACGTGTTCAGGCTATGAATACCATAGCAATGCCTCTAGTAGGAAAAGTAATGATGTACTTATCACGATCCACAGGGTATATAATCTTAGTCATTACGATCCACAGTCTTAAAAGAAAAAAACGTAATCAAGTTGTATCATTCTTTAAACTTTGGATCTGAAAAAAGTAACATACGTAATTGGAGATCTTGTGAACGATTACAGTAAAAAAAATCGAGAAAATAAAAATATCTGAATAAAAGAATCAACGATCTTTCAACTCCCAGAGTTGATATGTTATTTCAATTCAAAATTTCCAAACACATACCAACCAGGGATTAGGAGAATTGAAAGAATTAACAGCTTGAGGACTTTAAATTAACACTAAAAATCAACGACTCTCGATACTCATGTAACTCCGATTGCCTACACGGGGAGACCTTTCTTGATATCTGCATTTCCATTGTGATAGTGCACGTCCTGGCCACCATTTCTTATCTCGAGGCTACCCTTTTCATTGAAGTCCGGTGGTGAGACACCTCTTTTAAGCGAGTTATCATCAGTCTCACTTTTAAAACCATCATTTTTCATACCATAGCCATTGGACGGTTCCACTTTCACGTCATACTGATACGGGCACTTCATTTTCTTTTTCCTGCGTAGAATTTTTGAAGAGTTTAAGGGGCTTTACACATGAAAAGAAAAGTAGAGTAAAACGAAATAAAAATATCTTAAGGGTGCTTTTGTGGCAGCTGAACATGTCAACTCACCACTAAGACATGGAATCAAATTTTGTTTGAACAATTTAAATTATAACAACAAATCAATAGACAGAGTTTATGTCTGCAGGCATTATATGTTTTGGGCTCGCCTCAGGTTAAAATGACTCTAAGAAAGGCCCAAAAAATGTTTATATCCCAGAACATTAATCGTCAGTAGTACTATTATCACTTTGGAAGGCATTGATAAAATAAACACTGAAAACTATAAAAAGAAAAAAAACCTGGAACAAAAACGTAAATATGCAAGTGGGCTAAGATAAAAAACAGCTATCCAAAATTTCCTGTAGTCTGCAGAATGCACCACAATGTCTAACAAAGTGATAACAATATAAGGATAACTACAGGATATGTAGACAGGTTATAGTACAAATATTTATGAAGTTCCAATAGAGAGGCAAATGTTAGCCTACATAAATATTTCAAAGGTGGTTTGCCTTGATGTTGAGTAAAAAAGCTTATCTATCCTGTTGATAAATGCAATGATGGATGAAAATGAAACTGCATCAATTATGTCTGCAGTTGCTGATGATTTGCATGGGAATAAAGACATTTGATCCAAGGATTAACTGAATCACAAATACAGGTACACTAACAGATATGAACACACCAACATTTGTCCTTCTACAGCCATTAATCTCTTGGATTAATGTTAGTATCTAAGGAACTACACACCTAACCCTCCCTTGACCCAACATTAACCCTAATTTGATATCAGTTGCCTGTTGCTGGGTAAGGGAGAGGGGTAGGTGGGTTAGGGGGAGGGGTAGGTGGGTTAGGGGGAGGGGTAGATGGGTTAGGGGGAGGGGTAGATGGGTTAGGGGGAGGGGTAGATGGGTTAGGGGGAGGGGTAGATGGGTTAGGGGGAGGGGTAGATGGGTTAGGGGGAGGGGTAGATGCTCAGTTGCTCTGTTACTGACATAGGTCTTATCTCTTGAATGGATACCAGATCTGATCATTTGAATCTGAACAGTCACCTTTTCCTTCAGTGTCAACAAGCTTTCCTACACATGTAGATGTAACTAGGATATATGTGTAATTTTAAAAATTTCCACTAAAAATGGGGCTAAGCAGACTTATTTACATCCACTCAAAGGAAAAATTTACAATTACTGTACAGTACAGAAATTTGCATGTGAGATTTCTACATTTAAAAATACCTACCAAAAAAAATGGTAACCAATAAAGCAAATCACAGCAATGATAACTACAGCAACTAAAACCATTGTGCTAATCTTCCATTTTTCTGTAAGAAAAGAGAAAGAACATATTTATGTCCAGAAATCAATACCTTTGTGACTTCTCAGAAAACCTTGCACGTGCATGTGCATTATCTACATACATAATCTGCACTTACTGCTCTCATCATCTTCACTTTCAGAATCTCGAGCCCCTTTCTGTTCTAACAACGGCCCTGCACTGCCCCCTTCAGTGGGAGACTGAGTGGGTGATGAAACTGCAACAGTTTTTGTTTCTGTTGCAGTACATTCTCCCTGTGTGTTGCAAGAAACAGTGGTGGGCAGAATACTTGTCTCAGTGTGCACAACACTTGAAGTGGACACTATCTCCTTTCCAACAGTTGAAGAGGGTTTTAGAGTTGCTGAAGGTGTTAGAATTGTTGAATAAGAAGGTGAAGGCTCTTTCCGGCAATGTGGCTTGCCAACATTCTCAAGGCAAGCAGTATCTAAAGACCAAACACATTGCAACTGATTACACCAAAGGAAGCTAGTAACATGTAGGTTCAACTAAAGTGATTTTTCCAGAAATAAATTAACATGTAGTTCACAGTAAACAGCCTAATTTGAGAAAATCCATCTTTGGTATCTACAGTTTTACCAGAAACATAGATCATCATCAAACTTGTCAAAAAGTAAAAAGGGGGAAGTTTCAAAAACAACTGTGATGCTGCATTGGAAGGGAGTGGGGGGGGGGGGGGGGGGGGGGGGGGGGGGGGGGGGGGGGGGGGGGGGTTAAAAATATAATTTGTTTTTATCAACTGAGTTGATAACCTAAAGTCACCATTGTAAGGAGTGTTTATTAGCTGATAATTAAAGCATTGGCCCTTTGTCAGAGTCAAAAGGTTAATATCCTTCAGCATTTTTTAAGTCTATTCTCACCTAACAACAATAACAGAACTAATTGCAAAATGAAATCTCATAACAGTTGTCAGATATTGTAATCCTACCACATGGTTTGGGATGTGTTGCACCATTAAAACCCATCACGTAACCCTTCATGGCACATCCCATATTTCAATCCCCGAGTCTTTAAACAGCAATTGTAAATAGGTTGTAAAATGATAGTGATGGAAGAGAAGTGATCAAACGAATTCTTCCTTTCCCCTTGTGCAGTGAAACTGAAGGCTTCTGCCTCTTAGCTCTTCTGATATTGATGAGATATAAGGTATTACTTTTTGTCCTTGCCAATTTTTTTAATCTTTCATGTTCTCATGTGTAAAGATACACCAATGAAAATCGTTCCTTTGTTTAAGTTAGACATAACTTTCTGGTTCCATAAATCATTGAAAATGAACGTTCAGTAATGAAATCATCTAATCACTGACCCAAGAACCATATCACTTGGTATTGAATTGATTGCTATTAATATCTAGGGATTGCCACTGATATATTCTGGCAGCATATATCATCAAACATAGATATAAATATATGCAAAAGTTAACATTTCCAATATTGATCACAAGATGTTGTGTTGTTTTCAATCAACAAAAAAGAAAAACTCAAAAAAGAAAAGATAATTGAGTAAAAAAAGACTGGCAATAAAGGAAAACTAAGCCAAGGAATTCAAATAAATGTAAATATTACTGATGCCCAAGTTGATCTTTGATCTTCCCATATTAATTGTACAAAGTGCAACTTAATTAATCACTTGACTAGGACTTTCAATGAGGGAACAACATCTTAAAGGAAACCCAACAATAATAAGTTGTAGTCTACCAGACAAGTGAAGACAAGTGTTTGGACAAAAATAAATTGAAAAGGAACCAAGGGATGGTAAGGAATAGAAGTAACCACCCACAATACAAATGACTACCACTAAATTTAGGTTCAGATTTTCAAGAGGCATGAAATATGATTTCCTGTATGTTAGATGTTCATTTTGTGGTTGTGCTGAAGGAGACAAAGACCTTTGTAGAAAAACCGAACTATTACTGATAATCCCTTTCACCACCATGATCTGAAAGACATGACAATCTTCTTTGTTGCCCATTTTTGAGAAATATCCCCACTGGAATAATTTTAAATTGTTACTAACAGCAGTTTTCACTACAAAAATACTCAACTCTTTCTCGCTCAAGATCTCATTTAGTAATTATCCTTTCAGTCTACCATACAATTCTCATGACATAAACAGCAAATTGATATTTTACTTTATTCTCATCACTTGTCACTTATGTGATTGATATTGTATTGATATAAAAGGTTTCATTGAGGGCTAGGCACTCCAGGCAAATTAACTGGTTGTGAGGATGGCTTTGCCCACTGGGTTTGATTATCTTGAGAAAAGTTTTGCTAATAGAGAAGTTCAGTTCAAAAACTTTAGCCTGCCTGTGAAAACCAGTTGCCCTGCTTCTGAAAATGTTAGTGAAACCCCTGACTGATATTGTAACAAGAAATTCTGTCTTGAGTAAGTCACTCGTGGGAGTTAAATTGTGCATTAGTATATCAAATGATGAGATCAAGAGGGTTTAAATAATAAAGGCATAGACCTTGGCGATTTGTCATCTCTAGTGGTTCATTCCACAGGAGTTCCTTGTGATTTAACTGAGGTTTCATAAATGGTGACCATTAATGGCTGTCATGATTACACCCCTTTATTTTGGCTTAAGTCTGAACTCAAACTCTTGCCTTTCATCCTCAAATGTATTTGAGTCAAAAATTGAATAAATTTAACTACAAAAAAATTCTTTATCATTTTACCTCCATCCTGACAAACATGCATTTCAATTTTCAAGAAGCCACCACTTTCTGTTCCATTACAGTGTCCTCCTTTTGTGCTGTTCACCGAGGAAAACTTTCCATTGCATGTTGCTGTTGGTGAAGAAAAAAAGAGTTAGCAAACACTGTGCCTTAAATCTAAGACTGGCAACTCTCTACCCCTAACCTGATAATATTAAAAACCAGGATCTCAAAAGTGTGGGAGATTAAGCTCTCCATTGCTAATAAACAGTTTTTCTTTCTAAATGGATTTTAATAAGTTGATTAATACACACATTTTGATTGGTTCTTACAGTCTCACAATCTTCTAGACAACAGATGCAAAGACAACATCATCATGCATTCATGGCTTTTAGCTAATCTTTATTATGTAAAATATATAATTAGATTCCATGTTTCCATGGATCTTTTCAGTAATAAATGTAGATCAAGGAAGACACCAAAATGTGGTGAGAATATCAGTGACGCACTCAGCTGTACCTAATGTGCCATGTTTTAGTAACCATATTTTGCGTCACCTGTGATTTATAACAGAACAGAAGCACCGCAACATGCAATTGAGTTGTCAATTGGAGCAGGATAGTCTCTTGATTTGGCACAGGCACATGCTTTATATGGGACCCATTCAAATAGCCTTCCTTTCCTGTTCTCTCAACATACTACAGTACTTTGGAAAGTTTTAAAGTCTAGAGTTCGAGATACCCCTGAGGAAAATGCTGTACAAAATAACTATTAATAGAAACATGTCTTCTATTCTTTTCTGTTTCTGTGTTTTAGGCTAATTATTATTTTTCATCTTTTCATTCGTTTATCACTTAAATAATCTTCTCTTTAAGCATTTGAATGTTAGGAAGTCTACTGCTGCTGCAGCAACTTATATGTGTAAGGCCTCTAACCACCATCTGCGGCATTATTTTGTATCTTCACTTTTCAACCACCCGTCATATCCTTTGTTTAAAATTCAAAGTTTTAGGTAATTGATGGAAAGTTTCCAAATCTTCTCAAAAGGTTTGGAAATTTAAACAAAGCCTCTATTGAAAGACCCCTGAAGAGTACAATGAATTGCTGGTGGGGTGTTTTGACTAACAGATATGCAAATTTTTTCACCTTGAGTGACACTGAACAGATGCATTCGAAAACTATTTTTAGTTGAACCGAGACTCGACACTTCCTATTCATGTTTGTGAAAATAACTATAACATGAAAGTTGTACCTTGAGAATGTTAAATCTAATTCCTCAATTGTTTTTTATATTGCATAACCTTCACATTTCTTACTTTCCATGACCAAAAATCCAAAGAAACAACTTTTTAAAACAAGGAAGTGAAACAAAATACTTAATTTTGGACATAGCAATATGTTCTCATTTGAATACACAACTTCCTCAAAGTCTGTAATGGGCTATATTTTGAAAATAGCAAAGCCAAACGCATTTTGAATGGATAATTCTTTTGAAACTACAACTTTAGCTTTAAGCCTATCAATCAATTTACCCTAATAGCTTACAAAGAACATCTACACAAAAAAATATCTGGTCAGGGGTAGATGTATCAACAGTTCAACTGAAAGAACACATATATGTGGCTTAAGAGTAAATAATCAAATAAATGTAAGTTGTGTCTATCATCTGAAGCCATACATTTATTTTCTAAAGACTGCCTTTAAAAATTGGTACTGAGTAGTATTTCTGTATACAATTTCAAATACTGTATGAAAAATCCATCCATGCACAATGAGCATCTAAATTTAAAAATATTTTTGACAAATCCTTCATAAAAGCTAACCCTCTAACATTTCATCAGACTTCTCTGACAATTCACTGGTACCCCTTTAAGTTCTTGGGCTGTGAAGCACACTGTAACAGTAAAGTGTTTTGGTCAAGAACACAGCACAACAACACTGCCAGGTCTAAAAACCTGAGCCTCTTGACCCAGAATACAGTGCACCAACCATTAGAACCACCCATCTCCTACTGATAATCACTATGCACTTGTTTTAAAGATAAAAAATGAATTCAACCCCTCCTTCACCCCAATAAACAATGACATGAACATGAACTCCAACAAACTGGACAACTTCCACTAAGGTTTAACTTTCAAAACAATGATTTTAGTAACATCGACACTTACAGATGAAGAAATAGGATTTCCCTTTCTGAAAAGTAAGAGAATTTTCAGCTGAATGCCGTTGGAATATGACAGTGCGGAACTGAAGTGATGTGGGGTCTTGGCAGCGCATGAGGAGGGAATGCCTTGGATCCTGGGTAACATCACAACTGTTGAAGGCAGCACTGTTGTGTACCAGCCAAAGATTCTCATACTTGTTTGTTTTTGTAACTTCCCCCAAAGTTGAATCCATGAGAGTGGCTACATTTGGACACACAAAATTGATTTTTGATTGAGCTTCCACATTGACAACCTTGGGCTTCCCTGAGGGGCAATCATTTTTAAACCTGTATGGAGAAAAAATAGCGAACAGATGTAAACGCAGTTGTTCCATGGGTGGAGTCAGCCATAAAAAAAAAAATAGACATCCTACAAAGAGTCCAAGCAGTGATCATGTGTACTTGTGTCTTGATAATATTAGTCTCTTTTCCTGTAGTTTTGTAGAAGCTACCCTCAGCTGCATGCAATCATCATTTGTACTAAAGAACACCTAATTCTTCTCATCACTATAATGATGACAATAATGATAAATATAATCATAGATTTATATCGCACGTTCTTCTGTGATATACAGTATCTCCCAGATAATTAAATAGATTGACTCCATGCCTGGCAAGGAATGCTACAATTTGTACACCCATCATACAAGCATTTGTGAGGGGAAGGACAATAATCACATGTATATTTAATTGTCATCCTTGCCCTTACAAAATGCCAGCTGTTTCAAGGCTAACATATTCCTCGTCCTTTCCTGCAATCACCTTAATCTCTACCAAGAAAAAAGTGAAGTCTAACTACCTCCAATCAGATCAGTTGCAGCACTGAATGCCTAGAAATATTTATAAATTTTTAAATACTTGTTTTTTCTTCTGTATTTCTTATGATCACCCTTTCCAGATTTTAGCTGATTTGACTGATTACCCTACTACCTGATAAAGCATACAGCGCTTAACCATGCATATGCTTTCCCCCACGAGAAACAACTTAATCAAAGTGACCCAGTAGGACCTTTTACGCTGGGTTGCAGCTCTAGCTCATGATGCACAAATTTCAACCCCACAGTTTGAAAGCCAAAACATATAAAATCTATGTAAATTGTAAGTGTCTACTCCCAAATACAGTGCAAGTATATTTTATGGGAACTTCTGATGTGTTCATCCCTACTAACTATTGCTAACTACTTCATCAGAACTTTCAGATAGATATGCATGTGTATACATGCATATAGCACATTTAATCCAAAGCACAATAAACTTCACAATCATTTGAGACAAGTCTATGCCAATATCAACCTTAACATGCATGAGTGACAATTTTTGTAGGTCATCAAGATATATAGTTAATCCATTTTTATGCACAATTGACTGAGAGGGAAATCTGAGAAATTGGATTTGCACATACCGTAAAAAGGAAGTTTAGGAGTAGAGATACGCTTTATAAATGTATTGTTTGTGAAGTGGCTTGGAGTATTCTGCCATGTGATGGACACCCTTTATTCTGTATGTCTGCATGAACTATGTTCTTCCAAACTCAGAGTGACTATATGTACAATTATGAATGTATAAGAATCAAATAGTAATAATCAGAACTCTGAAACTTAATCTGTCAATTTTTAACTTTTAAAACGTTATGCATTCCTTTATTGCTGGTAAGGTTTCGCTTCCCTTAAGGCTCAGTCAAGCCGATCTACACGAATATACCCAAGGACTGATTTAAGAGACCATTTCAATCTAATTAACATGTAGAATTCATGTTTACATCTTCAGGTATATGTTAAAAAACATAGCGGTTTTAAGGAACATGTGCGACTGATGCAGCTCTGAATTGTTTACTTAGACCCTATTCAGCTGTAAATTTTGGTAAACTGTAATTCAAAACTTCTCGCCAACGCTCGCTATCTGCCTTTACTTGTCACGGATATTTCTTTACCATATATTAAAAACGACGAAACTGCGTTAAGTAATATAAATCTTTCTGTCGGCAGTCCTACCGAAAAGGAAGAGTTTTCCGACACGAAGTAATATCAGTAGATACGATAGGAACATTAGACCAAAGTTCGCTTGATTTTAACAACATGGAAGTTTCGGGATGATGGCGGAAAGAAGTTTATAATAACTTGTTTCTTTCCGAGAACTCGAATTGCTGTTATAAGGCCGCATAAAATGTGCAAGTTGTTCATGTTATTTGCTAGTTTGGGACTAAATAGGATAGAAGCCGCCAATATCGTCCTGTAGTACACAAAGGCAAAATAAACATCGGCTACGAGTTCAATAGTACAACTCGAAAAGACATCGCTACAAATCGATAGTTTCGACCGTATTTTCAATGCAGAATGAGAGCCTTTGGAAGACCAAAGGTAGTTGTTATCAAAAGGCGAAGCTTACCACATGAAACATGAGTCTACTTTACCTTTAAGGTGCTGAGCATGAGGAAACAATGAAACAGAGATTAGGGAAACGATCGAGTGTCAAATTCCACTCACTATATCATACTGAATATACTGCAAGAAATTACAGGTCTGTTGCGCGTTGAAATCTTAACATCTTAAAACATATGAATAGCTATGGGAAACTAACTTTGGTTTCGCAATCTACTATCGATTTAGAAAATTAGAAAGAATAAAAGAAGTAACGTTGCTCGTTCATGTAGGAGAGGAATAATAACAGAGACAGACATGAAACATGCAACGAGGGATTTTCACTTACAGTAGATTTTCAGGATCCCAAATTAAGGACTTGTAAGTTGCACTCCCAAGAATGTAATCGAAGCTCATGAAGAAGATGAGAAGAACACAAAAACTGCCTTTCGACTTCATCGTCAGTCGTCGTTTTCCGTTTAGTTAATCGTCACGTATCCTAGTTGCTCAATCACGTTCTTCACATTTCGAAAAAACGCGTACCTCGTAGAAGAAAACACTTTCGAAAGCCTCGCTTGTTGATGGCAACCGAATTATTTCATAAATTTTAAGTTTTGTTTACGATCGCTGAAGACTGGACGCGAAATATTGTTCCCCGGAAATATCTTAATGACAGCACAGAGCACGGTGCTGCTCCGGTAATATAATATGCGCAAAAATTTCAGCAGTTGCTTTGTGATTGGTCTCTGGTCTATGGCCCTCCTTTTGACGTTTCAAAACAAATTGTGAACACGTTCGATTGAACACGACACCTTTTATCAAACTGACGAAGGGCTAACGCTCGAAACAAAACCGCCCACTCTTCCGAATTCTTTATCTATTAATTCTGGCGAGTGATTGCATTCTGTCTTCAGATACATAATACTGATCGCCCTTACAACTAACAGAACTTACAACATAGACACATCGCGAACTATCCAGCGTATTTGTATTAGCTTGTTCGTGGCATCCTACTGAGTGAAATTTCCGTATTTTAAAATATCCGCAAAATTTTCTAGAACCATTTCTAATTCTACAGTTAAGTTTATGACACATCAAAAATACGTGGGGCAAGACATGATTATTATGTAACGCACGTTTTGGGTTGCTTTTTCATGAACGTGACCAAGGTTGTATAATAATCAATATTACTTCAGGCACGACATTGCTGAGAAGAAAGGAAAACTTTATAATTCTTACATCATCAAAAATTTTTTCGGCATTTAGCACGTTCGAGTTTCTTGTTTAAAAAAAAAAAACGGAGAACACAACTGTAAACATACTACAAAGAAGGAAGTTTACTAAAGACAGACAGACAGAAAGGAAAGCGGACAAACCTTCATTTCTGTATTGGATCAAAACATTAGATAAACAGAACAAACACCCACAGAAAGCCAAAGAGTTAGAAAGAATCACTGAGAGTCGGTTATTTGAACTTTTCGCTGATCCAGGAAATATGAGAGTAGTTTCGGCCTGGAAATGAGATTAAACCCAGCAAACAATATACAGACACAAAAACTCCCTTGGTGACTTATGGGATCATCATAAAGCCACACTATGGACAAACATACGTCAAGACTTTTCATAAAGGGATTGAAAAGCAAGCAAAAATGGCGGTAATCATTGCCAAGGTAAACTTGAAGTCGACTTTGAAAGAACAAAATAGAAGTGTTTCCAGGTTTTCATCAATTGAGTCCCATCAAATGGATCATTTGGATATGAAAAATTCCTCGATTTGTTGTAATTCCCGGGTTGTGATAACACAGGTTTTTTCGCAGACCTAGGTTTATAAGTACGTATTATATTTACGTCAGCGAATTAAAAGATGATGATGATAGGTGAAGTGTAAAATAAAGTTTTATACCCTAAAATATGTGATTGGAATTACAGAAATAAATATCCTTAAGCAAACAAAAGGTGACATTTGTTACATTCCTATCATAGAGGATTCTGAGAGTTCACTTCTCTCTCTCTTTTTACAATCGACTCAGTCGATTCTATGTGAAATCGGCGAAGGCTTACATAGAAAGGATCGGACCACAAGAGACGTTAACCTTTAAAGGAAATTAGTGGCCTTTATTCAAAGTTTCCATGCAGTGGCGCCTACCTTAATCACGGCAGACTGAGGGCAGACTGCCGGTCAGTAAATAAATAGAAGTCCTAACACCTTGATAACGTAACTTTCTGAGGAAGGGCCGCTCAAAACATCACCTTTTAACTCCTTACGGTTGCCAATTGGCACTATCAATTGCACTGATGAAACCAAATTATCTTGTTATACTCCTACAGCAGCATCACAATTTCTTTAGAAACTTAACCCCATTTATTCATTTATCATTACTTTGACTATGTCGGCCAAGCCTTTGTGAAATATCGGTCGGGGCGCGGGGCTCAAAAAATTTGCCACAACTTTTCATGTTGGCTTTTCATGTTGGTATTCAATTTAATCTACTGCATATTTTCATGTTTGTTTACTAACCGCACATTTTTCATTTTTGTGTACTTAGACATTTTTTAAATATATATACAGTGAGACTGGGTAGAAAAAAAAAAGGGCGCGCCAGCGGAGGCTCATAACGTCATGGTCGGGGGACGGGGCACTTAAATTTTGCCACAACCTTATTTTTGTTTTGTTTGTCTATTCTGGCAAAGTTGTTACAAGTCATTAGTTTTGTTCTTTTGCGGAAGCACTTTAAAGTAAGAGAGCACTTAAAAAGCGCTCAAGTTCTGTGTGATATTTTGATTTTCCTTTTATTTTTTAGTTTGTTTTTTTTTTGGCCTTATTTCCTACAGAAAATGCTGTACGTGTGGATTGGGCCAATCGACAGCAATACATAAAAGTACACTCTCATCATGACGTAACCGATGTAAGTACCGCGGTAATTTCCAATATCAAATGAAGTCAGATTTTTCTTAGGAGTCATCAAGCCATTCGCGATTAATTAGTAAGACTTAAGGCTACAGTTAAATTTCATGTTTTGGCATGACAGAAACCGTGGCTGTGTTTACAAAATACTTTGTTGACGTCGAAGAATCCCTAGGAAGAATCGGAAAGATCCAGAACATTTCTCATATCTATCAACGACTTTTTTTCTTTGTCACATACTTAAGACCTCAAAAGCGAGAACAAAGGGAATTTAAGCTTTGACGGAGGATTGGAAATCTTACGTCTTTAGCAAAACTTTTGTCTCTTTTCTTTTGTTTTGAGTGAGAGGAGCTCAATCACTCGAGATTCACTTTGGACATTGTTTAAATATCTGCCTGTCCAGAATTCGCTAAATGTATCACCTGACCTTGTAGATTCATTAACCTGTTTTTTTGTTTCTTTTTCTGTGGACTCCTACAATTTTTCACTGTCAGACTCTGACGTTGGTAATTCTTTGAAAACACTTCAATTTGACTTATATCTGCTTCCACAAAGACCGCAGAAAACAGCAACGTCACCGCCTACCAAAATTGCTGAAGTTGAACGTGCATGAGTGAAAACATCCTCCTTAAACACGAGCATCACAGTCTCTCAAAACCTGATTTTACACACGCCCATATTTTGTGCAGGTGTTTTTGCTTTTTTTTCCGAAGGCCGCTCGAATCCGATCAATATTTGAAGTGTTCTGAATGTGGCGGTGCATGTTCTAAACTGATGTCATTTCGTTGATATGCATATGTTAAAGAAAAATTGTGTGCTATCAACTAAAGCAAAGGAAAACTGTCAGAAGTATAACAAGCTGGAATTTCTTCTAAGTCCTTCAGAATTTCCTTTTTCTCTAAGTCAGCCTTTAAGAAGTCAGTTTAATCAGTAAATTTAGTCTTAAAACCTTCTTCTGTAATAAGCTTTACCTTTGGGAAACCTGGAAAATGGAATGTTATATTTTGTCATTTACATTGCATTGTGTCATACTGATATCTCTTCGAAGTTGCATTATTAGAAATGACCCAAAACTTCTCCGAAGGCGCTTTGCGAAATTGTTACTGGCTGCCACAGACTGGTGAAGAGCACGATGTGCACGGAACCATGGGAGGACGACTGAGGTGATGCTTTCCTCAGACAGTTAGAGGTTATCGGAGACGTTATACATGACGCTAAAGCCTAACGGCATTCTGCAATCGGCAATCTTCCCCCTTACCTTACGCGTTTGTATCCTAAAACAGAACATGTTGCAGTGCTATTCAAGGTGCAAAATGTAGTTTACAAATTGTTGTCTTGCATTCTAGAAATTCAGACCTTGACACACTGCAGTTTCTGAGAGGCTAGATGTCTACACTGCACTTACCTTGAAAGCAGTCTCACTTAATAACCAACTGAAAAATTCAGTCCAGGTTCGTGAAATTGGAAATTTTTGTTAGCCAACCTTCACTTCTTGTATTGACTTGTTTTTAAATGAACATGCCTTTTAATATTCAATTCTGAGTTACAAACATGTCAAATGATGATCAACTTCTCTATGCTCATAAGTGAAGACTGAGGCAAACAAGGCTCCTATGCAAGAACAGCCATAGCTGCCCACTTTGCCGAGTCCAAAATTCTGGAGGATGCATGTGCTCGTTCCCGTAGAGAAACAACTGTTCTCCTCACAAGTGATCCACCGCAGCACTTGCCAACTAGATAAGGAGATGAAATCTGCCTTGGATGATCTTCTTGGTGTTTTCGTAACTCAATTTGTTCCTGGGAAGTCATTGTTTCAGATAGTTAAGTCAGAGTTGGCCAGTTACAAAGTTAAAGAAACCATGCCATTTAACTCTAATCCATTGTCGCGGTGGAAAGCAAATTAGCTCAAATACCCTATTTTGTCAAAGTTGGCCTAAAGATGTGTCCCTGCTATATCACTGGTGAGCGAGAGAGTTTTCTCTTCTGCAGGTGACCTTGTGTCTGCTCAGAGGTCATGCTTGCGTAGTGAACATGTAGACAAGTAAATTTTTTTTAGAAATGTGAGAGTGCTCTAGATCTAGAAAGAAAGCACCAAAAAAATTGCATTTTTTTTTATTGCATCCTTGTTATAGATTAATAATGTTCCTGTTACTATCGTACAGTGTATCCTCAAATTGAGGGTTTCGGGTTGTATGTTGTCTACATTGTGTATCATGTTGTAAGAATTTAAAAAAAAACATTAATATTTTGCTTAATTGAATTGAAATAATCGATATCGAAAGCTTAAGGTAGTAATCGAATTGAGTCGAATCGTAAGGAATATATATAGTTACACCACTACTGGCCACCAGTTTTTATTTTGAGGCTACCCTTTTCATTCACGTCTGATGTAAGACCCCCTTTTTTTTTTAAGCGAGTCAACATCAGACTTTCTTTCAAAACCATCATTTTCCAAACCAGGTCTTTTGGAAGATTCTACTTTCACGTCATACTGATCCGGGCGCTTCATTCTCTTTTTCCTGCGTAGAATTTTGAGAAGAATTTAAGGGGCTGTACACATGAAAAGAAAAGAAAAGTAAAACCAAAGAAATATCTTAAGGGTGCTTTTGTGGCAGCTGAATATGTCAAATTACCACTAAGACATGGAATCAAATTTTATTTGAACAATTTCAATTATAACAACAAATCAATAGTCAGAGTTTATGTCTGCAGGCATTCATACGTTTTGAACCCACCTCAGGTTAAAATGACTCTAATAAAGGCCCAAAAAATATTAATACCCCAGAACATTTATTGTCAGTAGTACTATTATTATCACTTGGGAGGGCATTAATAAAATAAAAACTGAAAACAATGAAAAAAAAAACCGGAAAAAAAACGTAAATGTGGAAGCAGGTTAAGATAAACTTCAGCTCTCCAAAATTTCCCTTAGTATGCAGAATGCACCACAATGCTTAACAAAGTGATAACAATACAAGGATAACTACAGTATATGTAGACAGGGTATAGTACAACTGTTTATGAAGTTCCAACAGAGAGGCAAATGTTAGCCTACATAAATATTTCGAATGTGGTTCGACTTGAAGTTGAGTAAAAAAGCTCATCTATCCTTGTTGATAAATGCAATGATGGATGATGGATGATATCAGTTGCTGGGTTAGGGAAAGGAGTAGGTGCACAATAGATACTGACATAGGTCTTTAATCTCTTAAAAGAATACCAGATCTGATCATTTGAATCTGACCAGTCACCTTTTCTTTCAATGTTAACAAGCTTTCCTACACATGTAGATGTAGCAGGGAAATATGTGAAATTTAAAATATTTTCACCATTATATTAAAAATTACTGAAATTTCCAAGTGAGGTTTGTTACATTTAAAAATACCTACCAAAAACATTTGCAACACAAACAGAAAAACGCAGCAATGCAAAAACCAGAAGAACATGCTACAGCAATCTTCCAAATTTCTGTAAGAAAAGAAAACAAGTGCATTTACTACCAGAAATCAATACCTTTGTGACTTCCCAGATAACCTTGCACATGCATGTACACAATCTAGATACCGGTACATTAAATCTGTACTTACTGCACTTATCTTCACTCTCAGAATCTGGAGCCCCTTTCTTTACTAATAGATTTAAAACCTCTTTGCAGGGATTTGTTTTTCCTTCAGTGGGAGATTGAGTGTGTGATGAAACTGCAGCAGTATGTGGTACTGTTGCAGTATTCAGAACATGTGAGGATGAAGGCTCTTCCTGGCAATGCAGCTTGCCAACATTCTCAAGGCATGCAGTATCTAAAGACCAAACACATTGTAACTGATTACAATAAAGGAAGCTAGTAACATGTAGGTTAATTCAACTAATTAAAAGTGATTTTTCCATAAATAAATTAACATGTAGTTCACAGTAAACAGCCTAATTTGAAAAAATCTAAGGTATCTACAATTCTATCAGAAGCAGTGATCATGCAGAGTCAGTCGTGCTGATGGCTTGTCAATACTTTCATTAAGCTTGTCAAAAGGTAAAAAGGGGGATTAAGTTTCAAAAGCAACCGTGATTATGGATTGGTAGGGAGGGGAGGGAGGAGGGGGGAGGGGGAAAGAGGGAAGGGGGAGGGGGGGTTAGAAAAATATATTTTGGTTTCATCAACGAAGTTGATAACCTAAATTCACCATTGTAAGGAGAGTTTAAAGCTAATGATTAGAGGGTAAGCCCTTTGTCAGAGTCAGAAGGTAAGTATGCTTTAGAATTTTTTAAGACTACTCTTGCCTAACAAAAACAACAGAACTATAATTGCAGAATTAATTCTTATAAGAGTTATCAAATATTGTAATCCTTCCACATGGGTTGGGATGTGTTGCACCACTAACTCCACATCATGTAACCCTCCATGACATATCCCATATTTCAATCCCTGAGTCTTCAGACAGCAATTATAAATGGGTTGTAAAATGATAGTGAAAGGGTTGTTAGGGTTCCGCATGAGAAGCAATCAAGCTACTTCTTCCTCTGCCCCTGTGCAGTGAAACTGAAGGCTTCTGTCTCTTAGCTTTTCTGATATTGATGAGATATTAGGATCTGTTAATTTTTGTTCTA